ACCACACTCTTCTCTTATTACACAATTTCTTACCCTGTCATTAAGATTCAGCCCTAACATACTCCTTAACGACCGCATTTCTACTGCGTTCATTCTACTCTCGTGCTTCTTCTGCCACACCCAACTTTCACTACCATATGTTAAAGTAGGGACCAACACAGCATTGTGAATTGCCATACGTGCCTTTTTCGACACATTTTGACTCTTCACAATAGAGTGCAGGGCCCCATTTACTCTATTTCCCGCATTCACTCGTCGTTCTATATCCTTATCATATCTCCCATCCCTGCTAAATACGCAGCCCAAATATACAAACTCGTCTACTTGCTCGATCAACTCCCCTTCTATTCTTATTTCACAAATCGTTTTACTTTCTTCTCTTTCAAAAACCATAACCTTCGTCTTACTTGCGTTCACTTTCATACCCCTTTCTTTTAATGATCTGTTCATTAATGTAACCATCATTTGCAACTCGGCCGCCGACGACGCAAGTATAACTTGATCATCGGCGTACAAAAGGCATTTGACGGTTAACTCACCCATTCTTAATCCGCATTCTTCAACTTTCAAATTTTGCAAACAACTGTCCATAAATAGGTTGAACAGCCACGGGGAAGCTACACAGCCCTGTCTGACACCTTTATGGATGTCAAACCAGTCCGAGTAGACCCCGTTGATCCTAACACAAGCACTAGAGTCCCTATAAAGGGACTCCAATGCCCGTATCAAGCCAGCGCTCAACCCAAATGAGTTCAGTGTTTGCCATAGCACATCCCTATTCATAAATAAATCGACATTAATCCGTTCAAGCAAGGTAAAATTTTAAGCTTTTTTTTTACAAGTGTAGTTATTTAACATATTCTTAGCCGTTTTATATCAGTATTTTAGCAAAATGACTAAAAGTGTAAACTTTGAGGTAGGTATTACATTTGCCCCTCAAAAATAGCAGATCGGGGCTAATGCATTAACCTCGAAAGGGGTAAATGTAATAACCCATTGCATTTACCCCTTTTGTGTTGTTTGTTGCAGATGGTACGGCATTATGTAAAAAAAAAGATTGGAGAACCTAATTACACTCCTTAAAGAGGTCAAATAAATATTATGTAGGTATCATAAAAGACAAAATCGACGATTGCTGGGAAGTTCAATATGTAAGACGGGGCAAAAAAGCTTTCATATGGCCGGAGGTTCAAGATTTTGACTTAATTGATACAGATTGTATAATTAAAATTTTACCTACCCCAAAATTGACGAAACGGGGCCTTATAATCTTTGATTAAGATTTCAAAAATTTATCGATTGTTTAATTAGTATGTATTTAATTTTAAGAAAAATTCATATCTCTCTAATTTGTTATCCTATTTTCTTCAAATAAAAACCAAATAGTAGAGCCAATTTTGAATTTTCTTGCAATTACCCCCAATTCTTTTAGATTTCATCTGTAGATAAATCCCACATCGCTATTACATTTGCCCCTTTTTGACTGGGGAAATGTAATAACGGTACCCACTTTTCTTAAAAAATATTTTAAAAATACTTAGCTTTAAATGTTATAATTTATTTCTGTTTGTAATAGTTATTTGAATAAACGCTTAATTAACCCCAATAAATGGTATAACTGTGGAGTTATTTAATCAAAAGTATTACGACAATGAAGATGGAGTTTGAGTGATGAGGTTTGCATTTACCCCTATACTCCATTTGAAGATGTCTCATGATATCACAATCACTTTGACTTAAAGTGGTAGAGACAGTACGAGACTACAGCATCTTAAAATTAGGCAGCGTTTGAGTATTTGAATGTAAGTTTGTAAATATATAGATACTATCCAATTTCGAATAATTTAATTTTCGGGTGTACCGATATCGACTGCCTCGTTGATCTAGTGGACGTAAGCGCGACTGCTTATCTCGAAGTCCCAAGTTTGAATCCCAGGTCGGGCCAAAATGAGTTCTTGGGTTTTTCTGTCAAGAAATTCTCAGGAGTAGCCCGGAGAAGACTGTGGCATTTAACTCCCGTACTTCGGAAAGTACGGTAGCCGTTGGTCTTGCATACGATTTCTCTCCGGTCGTGCCACCCATCAGACTAAGAGTGAGTCACCACTGATGATTAAGATGAAGTACCTCATTTCAGTAAATATGGGTTTCGATTCTAGCAAGAATCTATACGAAACACGGCAGTAGCAACCTACTATTTTATTCATATAAGAATGAGAATATTTAATGTGATGGATCTTCAGCACTAAATGATCATGTGAATGGTTATGTACCGGTTAGCGGAAATATTGTAAGCACTTAGTGTCATGGGAATTACAAATATATCCCCTTAAATGCTGATTATATCACTTATCACTTTAGAGATTCATTATTAATTTAGTTATAAGATTTATGTAATGATTTCTTATATTTACGCGAACACTACACATTGATTAAAACTACTTTTACGGATTTTATCGCGTTTAATTTTAATTATTTTTATTTTTAATTCCCGACGTTTTGGGTGCTTTCCAGCACCCATGGTCACGGGAGACTGAGGTGACTGACGTCCCGATGTTATTGTTAAACTCGGAGTACCATGAAGGTTAGAGAACAGGAGAACGATCACTACGTACTAAAGCATAGCCCGCCTGTCCTTAAAATTGTAGAATTTATAGCGGCGTTGACGTCGATGAGTAGTCACTGTGAAGTTTATGAGTACAAGTAGATGAAGTTTATTGAATAAGGTACAAATTTTCTCCGCGGCATTGGTGAGAAAATTTTCATGCTCCGTAATTTTGTAATTTTTGACAAAAAGAAACATTAAAAAAATGGAGAAATATTTTATTGTGTGTGGATGTGCAAGTGGTTTAGCATCTAATCGGCAAAATAGACTGAAAATTACTTTTATTGACCGAACTTAGCGATCGCAGAGCCTCACTTATGGTGTCCATATTTCTGGGACACTATTTTCTACGGCGCTGCTGATCTCTAACCTTCATGCGGAGTACCTGCAGCTTTTTGAATTATTGTTTATGGTCCGATCGGACCATTAAACATGATCATTGTTTTGTCCATGTTCATCTTAAGACCTATCCGTTGGGAGACACTATTGAGGTCATTGAGCATAGTGCTTAGGTCCTCCAGCGAATCTGCCATAAGGACTATATCGTCGGCAAATCGAAGGTGAGTGATGTACTCGCCATTGATGTTAATACCGTATCCTTTCCAGTCCAGTAGCTTGAAAACGTCTTCCAACGCAGCGGTGAAGAGTTTCGGGGATATAACGTCACCCTGTCTCACACCTATGCCGGTAGTTGTTGGGAGCACTATGCTCGAAGTTGTTAACGAGTACATTTACCTGGGACAAATAGTGCGACTAGGTAAGTCCAACTTCGACCAAGAGGTCAATCGACGGATTCAACTCGGCTGGGCAGCGTTCGGGAAATTACGACACATCTTCTCGTCAGGTATACCTCAATCTCTGAAAACTAAAGTGTACAACCAGTGCGTGTTGCCAGTGATGACTTACGGATCTGAAACGTAGTCCTTCACTGCTGGCCGTATGAGGACGCTCAAGGTCGCTCAGCGAGCTATGGAGAGGGCTATGCTCGGAGTTTCTCTGCGTGATAGACTCAGAAATGAGGATATCCGCAGTAAAACCAGAGTGACCGATATAGCCCAACAGATTAGTAAGCTGAAGTGGCAATGGGCCGGCCATATAGCTCGAAGCACCGATAACCAATGGGGAAGAAAGGTTATCGAGTGGCAGCCTCGTACCGGTAGGCGTAGTGTAGGGCGACCCCTCACGAGATGGAGTGAAGACCTGGTAAGACATGCAGGAAGTCGATGGATGCAGGTGGCTCAGGACCGTGTCTAGTGGCATTACTTGAGGGAGGCCTATGTGCAGCAGTGGACTTGTGAAGGGCTGTAATGATGATGATAATGATGACCGTCCGGTTTTCCCAAGGATCTCTCAATCCACAGGTCCCCGATATGGTCTCCGCCATGTTCAGGATCACGTCTTCTAGCATCACCCTGGTGCAACGGGCGGTAACCCCAACAGGGTCGTTAGAGGGGGTTTTGAATACTGCTCTCGCTTGTCGTTCTGTATCCTGCTCGTCCAAGGCTACAAAGCCCTCTGGACCGCTATAAGCTGGCTGTAATGATGATGATGATGAAAGATCGGACCATAAACAATAATTAAAAAAGCTGAAGGTACTCCGGGTTTAACAATAACATCGGGACGTCAGTCACCTCAGTCTCCCGTGACCATGGGTGCTGGAAAGCATCCGAAACGTCGGGAATTAAAAATAAAAATAATTAAAATTAAACGCGATAAAATCCGTAAAAGTAGTTTTAATCAATTTGAGATTTATGTCCTGGATATCGGATTTGGGTATATTATATCACTCCTCAATATGTGAAGGTTTGAGATTTGTCTCGGTTGGTAGGACTAGTTTTCGATCCAAAGTTCACCTTATATAATTATTGTAGATAATACAGGTAGCACATCTAGTGCTCAATGGTGTGCAAAATTACGGATTCGCTTTGGTCCGTTCGCCATTCTGTCACAAAACATTTGCTTAAAAATTAATTGACGTAATAATTTGGAGTTTAGCAGGGATAGAGTTAAACGAGCCAAATATAGATTTAATTATGCATCGGGTTAATTTCTGGGATTAATTTCAGGGATATGGAAAAAAATAAAGAGCCTTCATGACCCAATTTGATGATCATTTGTGCAATTGAGAAGCTTTGAACTTGCTATTCCCGACAACAATTATCAAAAGGGATTGTTCAGATGAATCTGAAATAAATCAAATGTGGTGAAGTAAGAATTTAATGAGTCAATGATGCTAATGAACGTAGAGCACTATTAAATAAATGTTCAGGAATAGCTGGTCTTCACTGACTTTTTTTCCAAAAGTTTCTCTTTTTTTAGTTTATTTTAAAATGCCCGTGGGATAAGCCGTTTGGTTAAAGTATTTTTTATTAGTACTACATATTTTTTTTACAAAACACTAATCACTTTCATCCATTATATTATCTTCATTACATGTATTGCCGTCATGCATATGAGTAGCATTTAAAATACTTAAAGCTTTTGCAGTACTTGAATACACCAAATTACGCTGAATCTTTTTCAATATCTTAATATCGTGAAAGGGATGACTATGCATATACTTTCTGCAAAAAAAAAAACATTTCCTTGATTAATATTTATTAAATTTCATAATTTTATACTAAATGCTACACATTTTTAAATATCAATCTGAAATTAATTACAGTCCTACTAAAACCATTTGAACTAGGAACCCCAAAAAAATCATAATTTACCACACAATCTACACCAGTCATAACATTAGTGATTCACCGTATGGTAAATTCGAAATTCGGCAGCTTTACCAAATTCGGATTTCGACGAATTTTGTTTCGTTTACGACTATAATAGTAGCCTATAGTAGTTGTACAACAATTGTGACTATGTTAGACAGTACTACCTTTAACCCTTCAATTCCCATAAAATCCCATGCAGTTGCATTCGTCCGTTAAATCCCGACCGCCGACATGCGACCGCACCCACCCACAGCACTTTAAACCATTAAAACTTATATTTAGAGACTACTTTTCTATGAAAAAGTGTGGCATTATAAAATCTATACAAAATTCTCTATCCTGTCGTATAAACAAAAGTCAGGTTTTACTTCATTACAAAAAGACTATTGTATTTTGATAACAAAATACGGGTACATACCAAGCGGATGTCGGCAGCGTGAAAATCACTATTATTTCTATATATTACTTGAAATTATTTACGTAAAAAGATAAATTATATCCACACAAAACTTTCATACCAATTTTATAATAAAACATACTAAAACACTAGTAAAACACGAGAAAAATTCCAAAAATCAACACAGCAAAGCAAAATATCATCCACACGAAAGTGGCGTACGTAATGAACGTAGATTATAAATAAATAACCATAGAGTAACTGACTTTTTATTGCACTAGAAGATAGAAAATTTCATATTGAGCCTATAATGCCAAACTTCTTCATAGAAAAGTAGTCTCTAACCATAAGTATTTATGGGTTAAAGAGCTGTGGGTGGGTGCGGCCGAATTCGGTCACTTGGTAGCTAAGAGGTTAATACAGATTATGATGATTATCCTCAAAATAAAACCACATTATATATTATAACACAAATACCCTTGTACTTTACTAACATTATCTTTCTTTATGTAATATAAATCAGATCAGAATCTGGTTAAATAGCAATCCACATTGCTGATTTATATAAAATAAAAAAGATAATGTTAGTAAAGGGCAAGGGTATCCATTGTAACAACATGCACTCGTAAAAGCAGTCTAGTAGACAATCGATATTGCTCGCTATGAAATTCAATGAACTAAAACACAGAGCCCTGATAATTTATATTTTATTACAGACATATATCAAAAGATAGTGACAGATGTTATCTACAGATACAAATATAGCATAGGATTTTACCTGCAAATATTTTAATATAATAAGGATGAAAAACGAGCACACAGTTCACCTGATGGTAAGTGGATGCTGTGGCCCATAGACATCTACATTTATCCTCGATTAAAAATCAAAACGCAGATGCGTTGTCACCCCTCAGGACTATGATGGTATTCCCCCCTTTTCCAGTAAAAAAGGGTCGCCGGATCTCTACACTCGCCATACAAAACAGTAGTATGTAGCTGCTATTTTACGCTGGTACTCGTATTCTGTGAGAGCGTGGTCCTTCCCCGGTCGATTAGACCCATTCGGGCTACAACCAGAATATGGCTGCAGCTAGGCTCTACCACGTATAAAACAGAAAATACAGAATGATCGCTGAAAAAATGCGATTAAATTCGCCTCGGTTCTTTTTAAGTTTTATATGACGTTCTATCCAAATTCTTCGCCTTTTAAACATACTTCAAAAAGTTGAAGGTTCTCAATAGGGTATTACACTCATTTTCAGAGTTTTAAATTATATATCACTAGAGTGATAATGAACTAATATACATTTTATACAATTTTTTTAAAACCGAATAGTGCCATGAAAATTACTTTTAATCTATCGTTGTAAATTTTCGCGAGAAAACGCTAGTCGCCATGCTGTAAACTCGTGACGTCACTTCCCTAGAATTTTGCCGATTTTGCAAAGGAATAAGATATTTTTAATGTTTAATAATGAGTTATCATCTACATCATTATTGTGTTGTGCCTGTATGCAAAAAAACGAGCATAAAAACGCCGCTAAAGTTATGTATTCAAGTGCCAGCTGATTTAAATATAAGAAATACTTGGTTAAAACTGGCAAGAAGATATCCGAATACATTGTCTACAAAAACTAGACCATACTTCTGTGATGATCAATTTAATGTAAGTATGGCTTACATTTAACTATCGTTTATACAAAACGAAACATCATGAGGTGAAGGATATCGCAATCCAAATTTTGTAATAAATTACGTTATCTTAGATATTAAAACTAATGATTGTAATTATAGATAAACTTAACTATGATAGCTACTAAACTATGTTTTATGAAAATACACTGACCTGGTGTTGTGTTTTTGTATAAACAAAAGTTGGTAATAGGTACTTACATTTATGTTTTAACATTCCTCGACTCAGCAGAATAAAAATTGGGATTGCATGCAAACAATTTTACATCAATATATTCTTGTAGATTAGTACTTTCTGCTTTTACGAATTCGTCTTCCATGATGCCTTTTCAATAAAATTCGGAATAAAACTTAATAATAGAAAACTTAAAAATAGAAAAAATCAAAAATTTCGAATTAAAACAGCACATTAGAAGGTTCTCTTAATCAGTGACGTCACGACAGTCTCTAATAAGGCGGACAGTTTTACAGATTGGAGGCACGGACAAAAAATTCTTAAAATTGAAATATAAAATTTATAACGCAATTTTATAAATAGAAATCAATATTTCCCGTTTACTTTTTACAAAATCTGTCATAAATATATTTTTTACATAGTGTAATATACCCTATTCGAGTGTATGTTTTTTGGGTATGTATGCTACGCAATATCTTCGCACATTGTGAACCAATTTTTTCGATTCTTTTTTTATTAAATAGATTATACTTCAAGAGTGATCCTTTAAGTGAGATTAAATTTGGTGAAAAAATCCACCCAAAAAGATAGCACATAAATAACTTCTGTGTTAGCAATTTGAAGTCTCTTTTAAATATGGTTACAGGTGAAGCTGGAGTAGCAACTTACCATCCGGTTAGTTGTAAACCATTTGATCATTTTCTTTTTTAACTAATAGTACTTTTTTATGCGTTTTCATTTAGTGATGAAGGGGCAATGGGGTGGCCATATAACCCGACAACGGATAGGAGAAGAAAAGGTTCTCGAGTGGCAGCCTCATACTATTAGGGGACGTGTAGGGCGGCCCCCCACTAGATGGGAGTGACGACCTGGCTAGACGTGCAGAAAAGTTGATGCATGCAGGTGGATCAGGACCGTGCATTGTGGCATTCCTTGGGGGCGGTCTATGTTCAGCAGTGGACTTGTGAAAAGCTGTGGTGATGATGATGATGATGTCATCGTCAACTCGAGACTTATGATAGCATCTTAACGCTGCTGTCTCGTATGGTGAGCGTAGACAACCGGAGACCCTTTTTACTGGAAACGAAGCATTCCATTGTAGTCCTCACGGATGACAACTCATCTGCATTTTAATTCGTAATCGAGGATAAATGTAGATGTCTATGGGCCACAACAACCACTTACCATCAGGTGGACTGTGTGCTCGTTTATCACCTTTATGCTATTAAAAAAAGCTCAAGGAATAAAGTAGCGAGGCGAATTGTCATTCCACTACATAACCAAGACAAAACCTGCGCCCTTTAGAAGAAAATTTACAGCTGTTACTACTCTACCTTTTAACAACGGTGTCACCATCAGTATCAACAAATGCAGGACAGTGCAATCGACGATAATCGATGCACCTCCATCGACGTTTTCGACCTCCGTACGCCTTGTGATGTGTAAGATACATATATCGATTCAGAATTATTTGTAGTGAACCTCTATTTGATACTGTAAACTGCAACGTTGTGGTATCTGAAACAATTTGAATAGTCATATCAATTATTTAACACTATGATCATTGCGTTATAGCATGGCCATGGTGTGGGTTACAGCTTACATGTTAGCTGTGTCTAGCGATGGAACAATGTTAAATCGATTTGAAAAAGGCGATTAACGATATATAAATATTATATAAAAAATTAGATATCGATAAAAAATTAATACCGGAACATACATTTGTTTATAACCTAAATTACAATGCATGTAAATGTTAGTTACAGTTTAATACAAATTATGACATAATAGGTTGGGGAAAAAGTTTCTTCGTATTTTGTTTGTATAAAATTGAAGAAAAAAATGTTTTGTTATAATTTGGCTGGTTTTATTAGGTCATTAAGAAATTAAAAATAAAAAGTAAAAAAACACTTGAGGTTTACAAAAAGATAATATTAAAAGGTTAGTCAAGGTCCACAGATTGTGGCGAAATCCGGATTAACACGCAATAAGGTGATGCTATGTGTATAGAGGGATTGGAAGGGAAGGAAGGCATCGTTTATTATGAGCTTTTACCGCCGGGCAAAACCATCGATTCAAATCTCTACTGCGAACTCCCTAATGAGACTAGCAATAAATTGAAAGAAAACGGCCGGAACTGATCAACAGGAAAGGAGTTGTCTTTCATCATGATAACGCCAGACCACATTTTTGGCCGCTTAGCAAAATTTGAGACAGCTCAGTTGGGTGCATCTACCGTATAGTTCTGACCCTGCACCCTCAGAATTTCACCTGTTTAGGTCTCTTCAGAATTCTACGGGTAGTGTTATATTATTAATCAAGAGAGGAATGTCAAAACTACTTGTAGTATTTTTTTTATTTTTTTCTGAATAAATGCAAAAATATAATGCAACAAACATACAATTCATATTATTTTGTAAGAAAATCTTGCTCTAAGATAGATCAATAAATTGAAGACAATGGTGTTTAATAACTCCTACTATGCACTTACAAGTTCCCTGATACTGTTACAATGGGTAAAAATATTTTTTTTTTCAAAAAATATAACAGACATTTGACATTGTATTGATTTTATTGATAGTTGTAAAATAAATTGTAACATATCATTTAAAATCTCAGATTTCCATTTTTTGGCCTTGTTTCGATACACTGTACATCAGTGTATCGAAACAAGGCCCAAATATAGACTAAATATTTAATAATAATTTTGGCTTTGAATCAGGGAAATATAACACAACATTTTTACACCTATTTTAGTTGGACGAGTAATAAACGAACTTATAACCTAGACTGTAATTTGATACTACAATTTATAGACAGTAGGCACTTGCAGCAAAAAGTAAAAATAAAAATAAAGAACCCTTTAAAAGAAATACGGACTCCTAGACATAGAAAGCCCATACTAATAAAACTTGAACTTGCATTGAAGATAAGCAAAAAAAAAATAGTTAAAATATTTAAATACCGTTGTCATTTGCCTCTCCATCTTGCTTTGCAACACTATTTGATGTACTTTGTTCAAATCCTATATTCACATTTGGAATTTCATCAGATTCACATAAGTTTTCTAGACAAGCAGGTGAATCCAAAGCAGTCAGTTCGCCACTATTTTGTGAGTTTAATTTACAGTCTGCAGAATTTATTGTGATATTTTCTGTAACATTACCATTTCTGAAAAAGTTGACAAGCATTAAATTTAATAGCATCTAAATTTGCTATTTACTCTAATATATATATATAAAGCCTGTTCTATAATATTAGTGATTACTGATTACCATATCAGTCTATAGAGCTAGTTCTGATTCCAGCAATCCAGTCATCAAAAATAATTGGGTCTTATAGTAATCGATAAACAAACTTTTTAAGTACCTAACATTTTGTATCGCTTCCAAAGTTATAACAAATTAATTAATTAAGACGACTTACATTATCATATGAATTATTTAAAACATTTCCTTTTATTTATAGTAATTTTGTAGGAACAATACCGTGAAAATAACAAAATATGCTTTTTCAAAATAGACTAATATGCAAATGTTTGTTTAACGCCATAATATACTAAATGCAAGGTATAAGCGTGTAGAAAATGTAACTATGGTTCATAAAAGATAGCTTGATCTCTGCGATAGCTGTCAGTAAAATCACGCCTATGAAGTCCTGAATTTCTTAGTACAGACAGTACCCGTCAATGTCATACTTTATGGGCATGCACTAATTAGGTCGGCATACCCATAAAGTATGATATTGACAGGTACTGTCTGTACTACTAAGAAATTCAGGACTTCATAGGCGTGATTTTACTGACAGCTGTCGCAGAGATCAAGCTATCTTTTATGAACTATACAGTCGCTAAAATTTGTACACAACAGGCTAATTTGTTGGTAACCATAAAAAGAAATCGTCGTCGTATCTCGTTTTTTGGGGACACCTTAGCCTTAGCCAGTATCAGCATCTTTGAGTCAACATATCAAGTGACGTTCAGTTTCGTAGTCAGTTGGAAGGGAACGCTAAATTGGACCTTAAAAATCTTGGTGTGCTTACTTGAGCGGAACAACAGTTTTTGATGCCGGCCCACCGCTTGCAACTTTACAAGACGCAATTTGGGATTTACATGGAATACATTTCTCATCTCTATGCCGGTACACCCTAGAACCAGCTTCTTCAACTTGATCGCATTTTACGGAGAACGACTTGAATGTTGATGACAAGAGTTCTTTTCGATCAATCGAGATTCTTTAGCTTAACGAAAAGATATACATTTCTTTACATTTTCTGTACGGGGAGTGCTCCAAGTAATTATCGGAATAGTTCCAGCAGCTACTCCACCGAACGATCATCATTCATTGCGACATAACACAAAATCCCTCGATCGACACTCATAATTTCGATGGTTGGCAATCTACCACTGTGCGTTAGATTGTGAAAGTTAGAAATGCGGTTTAGACGTTATATTATAATTTGGACGGCACGCAAATTATGGGCTACGGAATCAGATTATCACTTATGACTAAGTTAATCTTGTATGATAATGGGAGGCATTAGTCACAATGGTTGAACCCATGGGAGGCAGCCAAACTCAACGCGAACTTAACTCAAACGCAAATTGAGTCAAAAGACGATTATTAGTAATAATAGATCTGGACCATCATAAATTCTTACAGCAGCTTGAGATATCATCATTAATAATTCTTGAAAGTAATATACTTTCAAGAATTATAAATTATGATGAACAAGGTCGCTATAAAACAATCAATACTTGTCAACCAAAAAACTGTAGAAATAATGACAATGTCGTCCAGACCGACGATCGATTTCAGACGAGACGGCCAGCCACAACGGAGACTAGCCATCAGGACAAGATCATAGTGCACGAGTATGTAAAGCACAATGAGACGGCATTCCAACACGACCGGAGAGAGATCAGGCGTAGGCGCTGGATTAACGACTAGGTGCTTTCCGAGGCACTGGGGTGAAACACCACCAATTTCCACCTTTTGTAGTTAAAGTCAACACCAAGGTTGTTGACTTTAACGACAAAAGAAGTGAGATCTAAATGGGTGCCAAGTTCAATGGTCAGTCCTGAAATTGATTTATAACAACATAAAATATCATTTCTTCTTATAACTTAGGATAATATATTGTAACCTAAGGTCTGACTTGGCTTAGTATGTTCGATGGCTAGTTTCTACTAGTACGGAATTTTCGGAATAATAAAATAAGAACCGACAAGTAACAGGTTTAGAACTTGCGAAAGCTATAATATAATTCGTATATGAAAACTAGCAAAGTCATACCTTAGGCTACAATATATTATTGTTGCGCGGCTAAGTTGACATCTGGCACTAGCGCCATCTAGTGTCGGGTAACGGAGCGAGGGGAGAGCTTTCCAGAAATGACATTATTAATCTTTCAACCGACAGCGCCATCTGTTGTCGAAACGAAGAACTAAGCTTCTGGAAGCTGACTCTCGAACTTTCGGCGCTTTGTCGATTGGTGCGCGTATTTACTTGAATGTTCTGGATGATTCGGTACTAATGTGTATTTATAGGCGCTGCAAGGTGCGATCGGGGAAGTATTGAATTTGGCGAGACAAGCGAAGCTTCGGAGCGGAATAAAGTGAATCAGTGTGATTAATTGTTAGTGTTTTAAGTTTTAATTTGTGTAAAGAAAATTAAAGTGTTAATTTAGATAATTTTATCGGCAATTTTTATTGTCACGAACCTCAAGCTCGTAACATTATCCTAAGTTATAAGAAGAAATGATATTTTATGTTGTTATAAATAAATTTCAGGACTGACCATTGAACTATCACCCATTTAGATCTCACTTCTTTTGTCGTTAAAGTCAACAACCAAGGCATATATCATAATATTGAACTTGGTGCTCATTTCACATTTATGTTTTTGATGGGATATCATTACTTTTTGTACATAAATTATCAGTAGGTACTTATTTATAACAAAATTAATACCAAATGGTTTTTGTTAAATTGCTGTATTTTTTACGTTTACGGGGTATAATCGTCTTTTTTGTGTTATTTTCTATATTTTATTGTACTTTTAATATGTTTGAGTGAATTGCCCATTCAGTATCCAGATTTTTTTTCACGCATTTTCTATTTATACTTAATTTGGCCAAGTCGGGGCGGTATAACGTACGCAGACGGTTGTACTCTACAATAGAGCTCTCTTGATGACTTGGATCTAAATTGATAAGATGTACTCCATCTAAGGTTTTAACTCTGGAGGGTTCAACGTAAGCTTGCCCTCTACTAAATATAGAGGAGCATATGTCGAGAAGAGCACTGTCAAGGCTAAGGCCTTGTGATTTGTGGATAGTAATAACATATGCTAAGCAAATGGGGAATTATTCCATGTGAACATATACATTACTTAATACCTGAAACGGCGATCGCATGGAATAGGCAGCTTCCATCGGGAGGTATTGGAATAATTCGGTGTAAGGTAAGTGTGTCACCCACCCGTAATTCTATTGTACGACTCATTGTAATAAAAAGATATAATAAAGTAATAAAAAGATAATTATTTAAGACTATCATGTAACAAATTACCTGTTATCTGTTGAGTTCTCAAAAAAAATAATTTGTTACCCTACCAACAAGTTCACGTTCTCAAACTCATTTGGAGTTAAGTATACATGCCTACTTATAACTATACTAAAATTATTATTAATTTTTGATTTAAAGTATTGCCTATACCATCTACACACTCATGTAATAATAATATATGTAATAATAATATAACCACAAATATATAAATATTTTTAAGAAAACCTATGGATTTCGTAGCATAAATCGGAAGCTTATAGGTCAGATATCGAGAGACAACCGGACAGCAAGACGGCGGCTTACGCTTATGAGCTCCCCGCTCCTTCGGCATCGCACGATCGCACCGCGCGCCGTGTACCGAAATGCCAATCTATTATCATCAGTAAGTATATCTCAATGCCTATTATTTAATTATTTATATGTAACGATCTTACACTATTGATATGCGCTAAATATTGAAACAATAATTAATACTAAATACCAGTTAAAAACTTAAAAAATACGAAAATCGACTATACTCTTAGTAAACTAAGTATTAATATAATTTATAAGTATAATAAGTACTAAAACGGAAATATTTGGATTAAAAAAAATTATATATATAAGACCGGCTGTCATAAGTTTTGATTGCTGATTCTTACAAACATACATTATTACAGTTATAAGTATAATATAATTGTTAATAAAGTTTAGTATTCGTAATAGAATCAAATAAGTGAAAAATTATAATAAAATGATAAAAATTTACCAGTTTCTGATTTATTCCTTTGTATTCACCTAATTACCTATCTGCATGCCAAATTAGAACTTTCTAGGTCATCTGGAACTGGGTTAGAGTTTTGATCTATAGGTCAGTCGGTGATAAAAATGACGATTTTTAGACGTTAATATCTAAATAACCGTTTGAGATGTGTTTACGAAATTTGAAGTACATATATATCTTGCAAGTCTCAATATATTGTGCCAAATTTGAAACGTTTACGTGAAATATCTTTTGAGTTATGAGGGGTTCAAAAGTGGCTCCAAATGGTTCGTGTAATATTACACACGGTGCGGCTCGCCGTTCTGCTTGAACTTGGCTTGACACGCTACCGCGTGTCTAGATAAGCGGGCTACATACGACACGATATCGGTGGCGATCTAGGGTGGAAAGAAATCGGGGCTTTTATCGGGGTAGACCTTACACACGGGCCTGCCTAGCAGTACGCGTTCGGACTTGGAGCGGAATGCATATGCGGTAGAGTTCCTCAAAATACCTCCGACTCTCTTAAAACACCACGTGTTGGTTTGGCATTAGCCATCTCGGTTAATTTATTCGAAAATAGAAAAAGAGAAGTTGCTGGGTGAAAAAATGGCTCCAAAAGAGATAAAAATTAAGCCACATAAACGTACTAAATGGCCTGTAATCCAAGGACGTGATTAATTTTCTCCGGATGGATGAAGACAGTTTTTATAACCTTCTAGAAATGATTTCGCCACTTATATAAAAACGTCAATTTCTCCTACCTATGCTATTTAGTTATTTCTTCTCTTTGTTCATTTCTGCTTTGGTCAAAATCTGGTTATGTATTACACACAACAAACAAGGAAATAAAATACTTTT